GAAAAAAATCAACAAATTTCGAAAAAGTTAACTTTTTGAGAAAATAAAACTTCAAATTGTATTGTTCTGAGTAAATTCTCAATAGTTCTTAAGTTCCTGAAAAGGTAAAAAAAGTTCTGCAAAATTACGCAAAAAAAAAAAATTTTTTAAAAATGTCGAAAAATGTTTATGTTAAAAAAAAGTAAAAATTAAAACAGTTCTGAATAGCTTTTCAATAGTTCTAGAGTTCTTGAAAAGGAAAAAAAAATTTTGCGAAATCGCGCCGAAAAAGATTTGTTAAAAAAAGTTGAAAAAGTTGAACGTTTGAAAAAAATAAACATTAAGACTGTTCTGAAGACCGTGCACCAAATCGTTGAGAAATTTGTTAAGCGTTTACTGGGGTGCGCTCATTTGATTATAAGTGAGCAGTACGACGCCCAACCAAATTTCATTGATAAATCTAAATTTACGGACGGGTGGACGGACGGACAAAGAGATATGGTTTATAAATATATGCGTATGTATGTATGTGGATATCTATCTCGATTACTTTAAGCTAATACAAACAACCGTTATGCGAACCAAGTTAATGTATACAAAAGTATAGTTGTCAAACGGTCAAAACTGAAATGTATTTACCTACATTTCAATCAATTTGTGTGTTGCTTAAATATCTACATGCATACTTATTAAAATAAACTTATGTATGTAATTAAGTAGCTGAGCTTCAACGCAGTTATGTAAGTCTATGGCAGCTGTCAAAATTTTACAAAATTTTTGTGTGTCAAAACCGACATATTGCTATTAAAACCAAGAAAAAAATCAAAGCTACCAAATCGAACAGGACCTTGAAGACACATACACACTTACTTATCACACTTACACACATATATGTATATTTGAGCATCCCCCCCCCGCCGCCCCCCTTACAACCACAATTGATAATTAATTTTTCGATGGTGGAAATTTTTCGAATTTGACATTAATCCATTGTAAAACATGCATATATACATACACATACTTATGTAATTACTTCTGAGATACTTATGTACGTACATATTTACATACACTATTACATGAATATATGTTTGTTAATAATTTGTGTTAAATTGACCAACACCACAGCTTGATTAGTTGCCACTGAAAGAAGTTCAAATGATCGCAATGCCCAAACTGGAATTGAAATTGCATGCAATAAGTGGTTGGAGATGGCAGAGCACACCGGCCGGCTACCAACACCCACTATAATATACTTATGTATGTACATTTCTATACATATACTTACATATGTATGTATATGTATGTTTTTATGTAAATATGTATGTTTTATTTTTCGGTGGAAAATAATAAACGAAAAGGAATGTGGTACCATAGCTACATATGTATGTATAAAAACAATAAGTTATCCAAAACACCGGGTAATCACTTCATCTGCTTGCTTTTTGTAGCACAAAGTGCGCGCCTCTTTTAACCAGTCAAGAAGATGACTAAACGTCTGTCTGCCTTAACTTATCGCTAGTCTGTCATGTGTATCTGCGTGGAGTTGAAACCATTCGTCAGCGCGGCAATGAGTTCGCACGTTTGACAGTGGGCGTGTTTGCAGAAATTTTTTTCACAATTAAGATGATTGTTAAAAAATTCTATAATTCTGAAATTTGAAAAGAATTTACTTGCGTTAAAAACAAAAGAGTTGAAAAGCTTTATTTAACTCAGCTTTGCAACACAGATTATACATAAGTGAACTTATAATTTATCGTTCGATTGCATCACAGAGTTTACTTATTTTTAAGAAGATAATCTGTTCAATGAAATTGAGCAGGGATGCCGTCTAATTTTATTAGATTACCTAGTTAAAAGCTAAAAATTGAAAATGAAAAAGTCTGCGCTGGCCAGTCCTCGAAACCAAGACCCACTGAGTGACAGTTTGCAGTTCTACGTACTCAGGTACGGTGGTCGCCTTACCGATACTATTCTTTTTAATAATATATATCCAAGAAGACATCAGATAAAATTAAGAAGTACTTTTCAATGAACTCAAGAAGACATTACATTAGTAAACAGTCTTTCGTAAGATAAATGAAAGACAGATAGCAAGATAGTTCGAAAGACTTTTGTTATTCTAGCGCAAAAGTTTTAGAAGAAAAGTTCTCTCATTCACCACCGGTGGTGAATTGTTTTTTTGAGAGAAAGCACTAGCGCGCGTAACTCCAACAGTCGCAATGGCCAAGTGGGCAAAGTACAGGCGTGCCAATGGAAAGATCCAAGTTCGAATCTTGATGCGGCGGATTTTCTTTTTAAGCTACAGTTTTTCTTTTATAATTTAATTTTTAGAAACTTATTTTATGTCTTTTTTTGGACTACTTTGTTTTTTTTTTTGTTTTTATTTAGTTTCCTTTAAGGTATGGTTATTATTATTTTAAAAATTTTTTAATTTAATTTAAATTTTAGGAACATATTTTACTATTGTATTTTTTAAATAAATTTTCTTGTAATTGAATTTTATTTGTAGGAATATATTTAGATTTCATCTCATTGTTATTTTAAAATTTATTTTATTTACTTTTTCTTTTTTTTTAATATAATTTTTTATTCATTTGTTAGTTTCATTTTCTTTCAATTTCTAGATTTTATTGGTTTAAAAAGAAATATATATATATGTTTTTTTTCATTTAATTTTTAGGGTCCTATAAATTTTTGTATTGCTTGTTTCTTGTTTTTTAATAAAAATATTTTTAATCGAATTTAATTTTTAAGTATATTTCTTTCTATTTTGATAAAATTTTTCTTTTTCTAAAATGTTTTTTTTATTGTTTTAAAAAGAAACATATATTTTTTTATATTAATTTTTAAAAACCTTTTTGCCAAAAAGTGAACTACCTAACGCTAAGACCTTATCGTTAGCAGAGTCTTACAATTAGTCTTTCGAAAGACAGTAAAGAGCTTTCAAGAGCGCTGTATCACCAAGCACCTACATACATACCACCAACCATAGACACTTTCGTTCATATTTTTGTCTTAGTTTAAACCGGCCCACCGTTGTTCTGTGCGAAAATGTATAAATTTATGCCTCTCATTTTGGTTAATTTGCTTGAATAGCCACAATTGTGACCATAGCAAATTTACATGTAATTGACTAGCAGGTTGACGCTTTACGCTTGCCGTAACTTTGTCTTTGGTTGCTTGTTCCTTTTGCGCTGAGAGCCACAAAACCAACTCCATCACAACGATCATGGCTTATGTTTTTGCTGTCGTTGTTCTTATTATTGATATCATCGGCTCTCTAGTTACTTACCTAAGTAACAAACATACATATACATGTATAGCAATTGGCGTTAATGTATCAGTCGCTACTCGCACTAAGCAACGAAACAATTCAATAAATAAATTTGTGGCACCTTGTACATATGTATATATGTAGTATATACTTACACTTGTGCATAAGTACATATGTATGTAACGTGCACAAAGTTCAAGCGAATCTTCACTTTAAGCCACACCAGTGTAATGAGGTGTATGTGGTTTTTGGTATAAATATTCCTTCTCATTCTGCTTGCCACACAGTTTACAACATACACTTTTCAAGTGCTGTTTAACGTGGGCGATAACTGTTTGGCGTTTAAGTTGTAATATCCTTGAAAAGGATTATCTTATTGGAGCGCGTACATAAATAAAAACCTAGAAGTGTGTAGATAAATTACACAGAAATGAAAATAATTGTAAGTGAGTGTGAAATGATTAACTAGTGAAATTGTGGTAAAGGACATTTGAATCTGCAGGAAAAATGCTATACATATTTTGTTGAATAAAAGAAATGGCATAGAAAGTCCTTCTAAGTGTAATAAACATAAACCCTGTACTTACTTATTATTTTGTTGTATCCTTGTGGCAAGACTTTAATTAAGTGGAAAACGTTTAAATCTATAACAACCGTAATAAAATTTACACAAATTAGAAACATAAGTTTTTAACAAAAGTCTTTAATAGTATGTAGTACATGCATACATATCTGCATACATATTTTGAAATAAATTATTTTGAGAATATTATTTTGTGTTACAAGTGAGCGGACCACGTGACCTGATCCTCGATAATTTCGTCAAGTCACGGAGTCGAAAAAGAGAGTATAGCTTTGTAAAGTACCGGCATATAGCCGAATCTCCAGGTCCCGGCAATTTTATCTTACTCAGTAGCTTTAAATTTATTTTGATAACATTATTTGAATTTTTATAAAAAATCGAAGTCATTCTAATGACGGTATGTTTTGTAGTTTTTATGAGTATAATTCCTTCAGCACAAAACGAGGGCATTTAAAAATTGTGGCAGATAGTAATTTTTATATTGAAAAATGTATCAAACGTTGGAAATAAATGTTACTCGTAATTATCAATTATTAATTTATTTTTATTTTTTTTTTGTTTATGTGGCATTCCACACTACTTAAATTGGTTAAAAACTAATTTTGCTCGATTTTCGAATATGTTGCAGAGGAGGTCCTAAAGTGTTTGTAAATGCGCAAAAAAAAAAACAATTATTTTTTTACAGAAGTTATACAACATCCAAAATACATATTAGGTGTCTCGCCATAAGCCATTGTCAGGAGATATGACCAATCAAAGAAATGATTATGTTAATATTAAATTCGCGACTTATCACAAAGTAAGTGGATTATTGCAAAATAAAGTATAGGAAAAAAAAGACTACCTGGATATCTACCAAAGTACGTAACTATCTTGGTTATACGAAAGAAAATGTTTTTAAATGGCCAACTTCACGTATTTGGATCCAATTTTAATTTAAAATTTTAATTTTTTATCAGTCACTGCTTTACGAAACAATTAGTATGTCAGACCCTAAATCGATACACCATTAAAATCTTTGATATCACTCCATCACATATATTTTTTGCAGATTTTTAAAACTTGCAAACATGTTTTTTAGCAATTTTCTAAATTCTTGATTAACAAATAAATAAAAAAAAATTATAAGTCTCTCACTCTTTGTTAATAAAAAAAAGTACTAATGGCCTACGATTTGGCTCAAATTTGGCACACAGCCTAATTTCATGCTACTTAAGGCTCACTAAAATTGGCCTGAAAAGTTTAAAAAAAAAAATTCCTAAAAATTATGGGCGTGAAAAATAGCCTGCCTTTAAAACTACAATAGCCAGTTTAACGAAAGCAATTTAAGTGGAAAACGATTTTTTTGTTTTGAATTTAACATCAAAATTGAAAGAATGAAAATTATGTTTTCACTTAAATATCTGTTGAAACCAGCAGTAATACTTTAGGGTTTGAGTAAAATGCTGAAATATATGTACATCCAGCACTATTATTCTTAATTTATTTTACCGATATTATTCCTCTCCATCCGCCGAAAGCTGCAAAAAGAGCTTACATAATTAAGATCACGAAATTTCGTTATTAAGAAATGTTAGCTATATGATCAAAAAATGTACAAACCTGACCCTTCAAAATCAGCTTTGCCTAAAAATTTGATTTTGCATGCATAATTTTTTTGCATTTGAACTCGACCGATAAAAATTTTAGTGTTTTCACTTTTTGGGGTAACTTCAAAATTCTGTAACTTCTAAACTCTTTGAGGCTCCACCTCGGAAAATATATTATTAGAAAGGAAATTGTTTATACTTTATATCAAGTCAAAATCAATTTGGGAATACGAATCCAAGCAATCTTTAATAAAAATATTTTTCAAGCTTCTTTTGAAACTCACTTTTCCATCTTGAAATAACAAAATTACAAAAACACTTAATCTCTAAACTCGAAATCTCGAAAAAAAACTGAAAGCAATCCCAAAGGAACATTCGGCTATTATCGCTTTTGATTTCGGAATGAACTGATCGCTTTTGTTCGAACGTGTCCTATGAAGAGATTTATTGTTCCCTTTTATAACCGAAAAAAATAAAAATAAAAATTTGCGCCAGCTGCGATTCGAAATTGGGCTCCCAGGTTTGCTAAGCTAAAACTCTCTCTACATGCTAGCATTGTATATTAAATTTTGTTGTTGACTAACTGCCTACATATCATTAAATTATATCATTGTACCTGATAGAGATGGTTCGGGGATTAATTGATATCCGATTATACCAGTAATGGATGAATAGAGGCTAAATGATCTCCAATAATAGTTTTGCGAGACTAGTTGCGACTAATTAATGCCGGAATGTACACAACTAAGACTAATCCCAGAATATTCTCTTTAGAGATTCGTCGCACAATTTTTTCCAGAGATATGACCGCCAGAGAATATCGGCCACTGAGTTTACACTAAAGCTGAAAGCGATCGGCGAAGGAAAATCTGTGCTACAAAATATAGACGATGTTAATCAAATCGAACGATTCATAAATGATTTTGTAGTAAAACTCACTGTAAAATGATAGTCGGCATGTTCAGCGAGGATTTTCAGGTTAGGTACACTGATGGTCCAAACTTGAGGATGGGAACACTGGGGCCGGCGTTTATGAACCCAGATCTCAAAAATCTGTACCGATGGACATATATTCAACCATATTTCAGGCGGAAATTTTCGCAATTGAAGTCTGTTTCTTCGCAGAGTAACTAGTGGAGCAACGATAAACATCAGGCCAGACAGCCAGGCAGCGTTAAGAACACTTAATTCTTGCAAAATGGTGTCAAAGTTAGTAGACAGTTCCAAATTGTTACGGGTAAAACTAGGAACCAATAACAGAGTAATATTGTGGTGAGTTATTGGCTATCAAGGCTTCAACGGAAACGAAAGGGCTGACACTGCAGCGAAATGCGGTACCCAGCGGAGCCAGATCGGCCCTCAGCCTTTCAGTGGTCCATTCAGAGGATATATGGCAGAGCTCCTAATGGGATGGGACGACTTGCAAATTGCAACCCAGTGGCGCACGACAGAGGGCACAAGGCAGTCTAAAATATATTCATTACTCCCATTCGTGGCATCTCTGATAACTGGCAAGGCACTGCAGACTGAGGTACCATCTACACAAAATGGTACTCACGAACTGTAGGTTTCGTGGGGTAGAGGCGGAAACCTCGATCTATACGCCTTGGGGAACGATTGTCATCACCATCCAGAATGTGGAACATGGCACCCTCCAAAGTGCTTAATTTTCAGTGCCATCTTATGCCAATTGGAAATGCCAAGTGAAGTCTTGGTGTCTGAAATGCGCTAGTGTTAGCTGATGTTCAAGATAGAATGACCACGCTGGTTTTCATAGAGCTTAGTTGAGCCATCAAATTTTTGTTTTTATTTGCATGTAAAATTATGGGAAACAATTGACGATAGGGCCGACTATTTTTTGCTAATCTGTAACACAATGCGCTTATCTACTAAATTACTCCGCTCATGTTTCATAGTATCAAAGGCATATGAAATATTTGTAACTCACTCTCTTTTAATGATAAACTTTGTTTTCATACAAATTTCAGATTAGTTTTGTGGTTGCTTTGCTGCTCGATTTAACATTAGCGCGACCTCAGGGTCCCACGAAGGAACCCATACCCATAATACGACAAGAGCAGGAAGTCAATTTCGATGGATCCTACAAGTATTCGTACGAAACGGGCAATGGCATCGAAGCCGAAGAGGAGGGGTATTTGAAAAACGCGGGCTCCGAAGCGGAGGGACAGGTAAAATGTTTATTAAAAAAAACACAACAACAAGTAGTACAAATTAGTGGTATATTAAGATATGATAACTTCATGCAGTTTCGCATGCCCTCGCATGCATAAAACTACTTTTTTAAATGTACAAGTGTATTTGCAAATGAACCTGCCACAACAAACGATAAATCAAAGCAACGATAAGCGATGCTTTAAAAAATATTTGATAGAATTAAACAAATTACAATGCTCTCTGGCCACAAATACCGGTTCACGAACTCGCAACGCACCCATGCCTCGCATGTCAAAGTGGCAACAAAAATTTGCTGAAGAAGCGATACTACGCTGATTCATTCGCACGGCAACTTGCCAGAGCACTATCGGCGATGAAGATCCGTAAACGCCCAATAAATTGCTGCTGTAAAGCACTTTGACGTTGGCAATGTTAGAAGTTGAACGTTAAATCAATGAAGAATTGCTGTTGCTGCACTACAACTATGCTGTGAACGTACACTTAAATATACACACAATTACGTATGTACATACATAGCTGTATGTTCGGTTTTTCCATGCATTGTAGGCGGCTGCCACGTGACTTTAAGTAGCCATGCATGCTACTATTCAAATCCGCAAGAATATTCCAAGCGCCAACGTCATTGATGCACCCATAAAATTTTACGCTAATTTGGCCAATGCAGTTGGTGAAAGAAAGAGAAATCGATACCAACGGCTAGCGGATGCCGGTAAAAAAAACACCCGCCGCGCTGTTAGCTCTCATTGCTGGCTGCAACCGCCTGATTGTTTCTCTAAAATGCGACCTGCATGCAACTGCCAGTAGAAGCTGAGGATGCTCGATGCAATGTGATGCATTTATGTACACATGTTTGTATGTACGTTCGATTACGCTTCAAGCTTGTACTAGCACATAAATCGCGGCGCGGCCGGCACGATTTCAGCGCCCATTGTTGCTCAATGATTCATCGATTACGAGCGCGGTTCATTGGTTCAACAATTCGAGCCAACTATGTAGCTATAATCCAGATTGACATTTGTAGCCATTTGTGGTTGCATGCCACATAGCAACATTAGCAGAATTGCCGCAAACCAAATCATCCACCTTTTGTCGATGTGGTTGTAGTCACGACGTATTGATGTTCAAATAAAATACCTACATACGAATATTACATACATACATACATACATACATACATACATATACAGTAGAAATGTTCATTTTCACTTTTAATTTAAACATCCTCTTCTTTTAATTCTCTTTTCCTCATTTTCTTTCATATGCCTGCATTTTGTTCACACAGTCAGCACAGGGCTTTTTCTCGTACACTTCACCTGAGGGTGTGCCCATACGCATCACTTATCTCGCCGATGAGAATGGCTTCCAGCCGCAAGGTGATCATCTTCCCACGCCGCCACCAATTCCGCCAGCAATACAAAAGGCGCTCGCCTATTTAGCCACCGCACCACCTCCACAGGATCAAACCAACGCATTTGCGGGTAATCGTAGGGGTTAAGAGAACGATGTCAAAAGGAAGCTGTGAATGGTAAATGATAAAAAAAATACGAGCAACAACACACACGCGCGCGGACGAAGGCACATGCACACACGTTTGCTATTGTTTGGAGTTGTGAGAGTACGGAATTGTGAGAGAGCGACGTTGTTAAGGAGAGTGATTGTTTTCATAGAGATTATCAAAACAAATATGTAAATGATATTATACTTATTTAGTTAATGTAGTGATACGATAAGATTGATTTCAATGAAAAATAAAATAAAAACGAATAGCGTATTATGGACTACGCCGTTTAAATGTTGCATTTTATTTTATTATTTTATAATTGTTTATGATTTCGATTGCCACAATCCTGATCAAATTACTTTAGATAAGCAATTCTTGTATATGCATACATATATTTTAATAGTAAAAGTATATTTTTTAAACAAGCTTTCTAAGTGTGCACTGAATCGGACCAAAAGTATGGGGTTTTCAAATGTGTCGACTCTTGCGCCACCTATTGGTAAAGCTTTCTTTTCGCTATTCCTTTTGATATACATATGTAATATATATGTATGTATTCTACATATACTTGTATGTATGTAATATATTGATTTTATGTATATTAGGGTGGTCCTTAAAAAGCAAATAAACAATTTTTTCAGTCTCACTACCTCAATCGGTAATACCACGGCCACAGTTATCACATATAAATTTTGGTCCCAATTGGAGACGGTTAAGGCATGTCGCACATGGGGCAATGTTCAGATTCCTCTATGAAGATTCAAAAATTTTAAATTTAGTTTCTTTTTCATCTAATACCCAAAATCGATACTACCTCAGTCTAAAATATAAAGTATAAATGTTGGTCCCGATTGGAGTCGGTTAAGGCGTGCGGAAAAGAGGCCAAAGGCCCGATGCATCTATGGAGACTCAAAAATTTTTAAAAATAATATCTTATTCATTCAATACCCAAAATCGTTACTACTAAAGTCGAAGATATCATATATAAATTTTGGTCCCGATTGCAGTCGGTTAAGACATTTTCATAGGGTAATTTGAACTTTGCCGCTGCGCGACACGCTTTAACCGTCTCCAATCGGGCCCAAAATTTGTATATGATATCTTCGACTAAAGTAGCATCGACGTAGGTGTTTAGGCTCAGGAAATCTGATGTGAAAATTTCCTTCCTACATGCAAAAACCACCCTAATGTATATATGTATATATACAATGTCTGCAGCCCTTATCTAATTCATGTCCAATCTGTACTACTTACTTGAGTATGTGTAAATTGTGTCGTTATTGCAGTGGACAACAGTGACGTACGTGCTAGGACTCTTATGCTCTGACTATTTGTGTGATGACAGCGAACTCGTGCCACCTTGTCTAAAATCTCGTTTGGTACCAAACGGCTCGGAGATATTTCCCAATTCTGACGGCCGTGTTAGTTTAGCGGGAAGATCCAATTCAGACATTGCGGCATAAAGGCAACTTATTTGTAGAAAACCGCATTCCAACGAAAATCCAACACCGCATGATCCCACTTGTCTTGTCTGGTCCCGTCCCTCGATTTACCTGGGTGACGCTTTCCTCATTATTGTTCTGGTCATTTCCGGTGCATAACCTGATAGGAATTTAAACGTTCGCCGTGGTTGCTTTCCAGAAAATGGGCTCTCATTGGAGGCTTTACTTTTGTTTTCATTGCAAGTTTGTTTTACGTGTCGAGTCCCAAGCCCAGCGCAATTTAGGTTGAGTAAAAGTTTTTTACCGATCCGCTTTCTGCCGGCCGTACCTCATGGTAGACAGAAGCCGCAGACTTCAGTGGGCCCTTAGACCATTACACCGAATAAGATGATGAAACCTCACTAAAGCTCCTCACTTCCCTGGCGTTACCCAATTTTCCACACGGGTTGATTACCGCATCGCGCACATGAGTTGCACGCGTTGCCCAGTGTACGCGAACGGGTACAACTAAGAGGGAAACTAATTGTATTGCTGTTTTGACGGCACTGCAACAAATGATTACGTACATCTGATTTTAGTTAAACTGTTAATGAATCATTTTTATTCAGCTGCATCATAGTTGCTATCCCTAATAAAATATGTATGAAAGTTAACAAACGCGTAAATAAATTAATAGATTATATTTTTAATGCAATAACAGTATATAGATTTGTATATGTACCATGCACATGGCTACAGCATTCTTGACTACTTTGACATTAATGGGTATTATGAACCCAAATAGATAAACCACATTCAATATGGCCAATCATTAAGGCCGCCTAGATTGGGCGTTCCCACGACACAGGAAAATCTGGTTTGCAAGTGGCCAAGTGTCTTGGGGCCGATACGAAATATTATTTAATCGATCTTCTAGGGCGTAAAATGAAATCAAATAAAGTAAGATACAAATAATTTTTAATCAAAAAATAAACGACTTCATTGTTCATATGCAAATTTAGGCGTACCGTTAATTGCTTCATTATCTAATGACGGAACTGAACGAATGACGCATCTAAAACGGTTCACGTGGTCCAAAGCCAAAAAAAAAAAAATATTCCGCCGAATTGATAACCTTCTCCTCCTGCGCTTTCACGCACAAAAGGCCAGGCGTATTTCAATGCAATCCACCACAGGGATTGGTTAAAATTTGGATTAACATATAGGATATTTTTTGAAGAAAATTGCCACCTTTTTCAAAAGTAAAAATTAATTAATTACTCGGTTAAATAAAATATCTCAACAATGTGGTAGTCAAGCGAAGGGGGTTAAAACTTGTTTTCTTTGAAAATATTTTGTATAGAGCGGCCACCAGTTGAGAAAATAATTTTCAATTTAAATACCAAGCTAAACGTAATATTTGAATATCGGTATCAAACCAAAGATGTCCAAAAGGCTTTATTTGAAAATTACTTTTGACTGGGGTTGGCAAGCCTGTTTCAGGCACTTCAGGATTTGCAGGAATTTACAGGATTTTACAGGAAGCTGTTTCCGTACGAAACCTTACATAAAGTTTACATATTAACGGCGAAAGCAGCTTTTCTTGTAAATCCTATGAGACCTGCTAATCCTGAAGTACCTGGAACAGGTTTTATTTCCTCTTCTTCTTGTTTGGCGCCTAAGCGATTTTGAACGAATTCAACAACTTATTTACACCTAATTATTTTGGAAACACTTATGTATGAAAATCAACTTTTGTCGCTTATGCTAAATAAACTAAAATAATTGTTCACTTATATGAAACTAGAATTATATTTTAGCAAATAAAGACTTTCCACGAAGGTTAGGTTTTCCTTCAGGCTGATTTAAATGAAGCTATGTGTATAAAAACATGAACCATCTTCTGAGATATATTTAATTTTTATCCCAGAACTCGCAGGCGGAGGAAATATCGAGACTGCCTCAATTAAGATAACCATCTGAGTAACAGGGCCAAATGACCAGCGTAATTTTATAGCATTCGGTAAATATGGTCGAGGCGCAGCTGTAACATTTGATAGCATAACAGTAAACCGTCTGTCACGAAGGCGGAGTCGAAGACAAAGCCTATTAAAATTATATGTCACTTCTGAACGTTTATTGGAATTACAATCGAAGTTCTTTCATCCCCTGCCGACACGCGCTCGCTGTTTGAAAAACTTTTTATCTTTACCGGATATTGCAGGAACCCGAAATCGAACCTGGCTCCAAGGAATATCAGTGCACTAATCTAACAACTCGCCTACAGCGCACAGTGGTTCAAAATTGGCATTTTGTGTTCACAATTCACTGCGGCCTTCATTTATCACTCAAGTTAATTATTTCTCTTTTACACGAAACCTAATAAAATTTGCAAGAGGCCGGTTGTGCTCGATTTTTAAATTTTTGTTTGTTTATATTAATTTTTTAGTGCAAAGTCCAGACAAAGTAGCAATTTTGAAGAAACTCGTTCTCCAGTTCCAGTTAAATGTTACATAATAAAAACTAGTTGAAAACAATTGTAGGGCTCTCCCAAAACGAAAGAAAAAATAAAAATAATTTGAAATGTTTTAAAAAAAAAATTCACCAAAATAATATTTTCTTGTTTTTGGTTTTTGTAAAAATTTTGGGTATGCAGTTTTATAGATAATTAAATTTTAGTATGATAAAATGCAGGTTGTAAGAGGCTAAGAGCTCACGTTGATTTTTGATAATATAACAAACGCTTTTATTTATTTCCCCTTTAGCATGCAGATGTGCTCGAAATGCTAGCGAAAAAATTTTTAAAAATCAACCCGACCACTTGCAAATTGCACTATATTAAACTAAAATGTAATGATTTATAAAACTGAATACACAACATTTTTCCAGTTTTTGAGATTTTTTTTTTTGATTTTGGGAGTACCCTTCAATTGTATCCAACTAGTTTTTATTATGTAACATTTATATCAAAATTGCTACTTTTTTTGCATTTTTCACTAAAAAATTTAATATCTACGAACAAACAAAAATTCCAAGTTCGGGCTAAACTGGGCTCTTGCACATTTTGTTGGCTTTCATTACAAAAAAAATCAAATTAAGTGAAACATGAAGGCTCCAGTGAATTCTGGGCTCTAAATTCCGATTTTGACCCACTCTTGCCAAGGTTGCCATTTTGGTGCTTTTGGAGCTGAATTTAGCTCTTAATTTTTCTGTTTAGCTCCGAAAATTAGGTTTTAGCTCCAGCTCCTTTTTAGGTCTTTTCAAATTTATCTAGCACTTTTTTAGCTCCAGAAAATTTTAGTTGTATCTGGTAATATAGTTTCTGCAACGTGCGCGGGAGCACACAAACTATACCGGATAGTAATTCGGGCACCGATAAGCTCATACGGTTTATTCTCTCTCAGGTGGTCACCAAAGAAAAGGAAAACCAAAACTTAAGCGTTATAAAAGTGTAAATACCGAAATGCAGTGAAAAAACATATATGTATTTGTATCCCAGAGAAACTCTTGGATCTAGGTTAAATAATTCAAAAATTTATTAGAAGAAATCCTTTTTCTGAATGCGCGGATTTTGTTTTACTTTACTTATTTTACTTTTAAGGAGAGCTGGAAGTAAAATTTCTTACAAAATTTATTGAGAAAAAATTATTCATAATTCGAGTTTTTATGTCTAATTCAAATATCTTAAATTGCAGATTTTAACAGTTTGTAAAGTATATTTAGTTCATCGTCTAGTTTATATAAGTATATGCATACATATAAGTGTTATAAGTGCCATAGCAACGAATTCGAAATATATGCATCTTATTTTGTTTTTAAAAGTTTTTTTCAGCACTTAAACTTATA